CCACATGGCGAGGCTGGCTGGAGGGGTAACTCAGTGGTGGAGTGCATAGCCTAGCCTGTTCAATACCCAGCTCCAAACACAGAAATAAAATAAAACCAGGAAGCTGGGTGTGGTGATGCATGCCTATAATCCCCGTACTTATGAGGCTGAGGCAGGGGGACCACAAGGTAGAGGCCAGCCTAGGCTACGGAGTGAGATCTTATCTCTAAATAAATAAACAAATAAATAGATAAATAAAATAAAGATGGCTAGGGATGAAACTCAGTGGTAGCATGTGTGAAACCCCAGGTTCTATCCCGTCCCTACACACACACACACACACACACACACACACACACACACAAAGTAATAAAATAATGAAATCTAAGAGGCTGTGGGCAGAGGAAGGGAGCAGAAGTGTTCTGAAGCCCCTCAGGTTCTCCCTCACCTCCCTCCATTCTACCACCTGGTAGCTCCAGGCACCCTTGGGTTCCTCAGAACACAGTTTGAAAACCACCCCCTTCTGGATCCAGTGTCTGCACAAATATTTATGAGTCTCTGGCCATGCTAAACCCTCTTCCAGCGACCGAGTGTGACAGTAAGCGCAGCAGATCCATGGGACGCATTGCTGCGTTACGGGATGGCTTACCATATGCCAGGCCTTCACTGTTCCACAGCTTTTCCGATATTATCTCACTTCATGCTCACCGTGCCCTACGAGACAGCTACTGCCATAAGCCCCATTTTACAGATTAGGAAACTGAGGCACAGGGAGGCTCAATAACTTGTCAAAGCTCACATATTACAGAGAGGCAGAGCTGAGTTGAAACCCAGAAATCCTGCCTCGTGCTAACAGCTGCCTGTGACCCATCTGAGGGACTGGGGTTCTCCTGTATCCACTGCCCCTCCCCATTCAAGCAGACCCACGGCACTTGGGCCCTTTGGGGTTAAGCTTTGAGGCTGGAATCCAGGTGAAACTAGATTCCAGGCAACCTGGAGTTGACGCAAGTGGCAAGTGGCTGGCGGTCGCCACTTGCAGAAGCTCTGAAAAGCATGTCTGTGGGGTGTGGAAGAATGTTCTGTCTGGCCCTGGCACCGAGTTTATTCTGGTCACTACACCGCTCAGCGGCTGTAGGGCAGATGGCTTGGCCAGCAGATCCAAGGGAGTTGGTAGCTTGACAGGTGAAACGGATCCGTCTGCAAGCAGAAAGAACTTCAGCACCAAATCAGGAAGTGGAGTCAGACACGGCCAAAAACGCATGCTGAGCGAGAGTCCCTAGCAAGGACCCTTCCCGCAAGCAGCTGGGGAGGGAGCGAGGAGGTCACGGACACCCGGGCCACCCTCCGCGCTGACAGGGAAGCCAGGTCCACAGAGCTGCTTGCCCAGGATGGCCTTGGCTGTCTCTCAGGCTCCAGCCATTGCCTCCCAGGCACAGGGGAAGTGATGTGATTGGAGGCAGGAAAGCCACCCAGGCAGCCGTGTGACCTTGACCAAGTCACTAAGCATTCTGGTGCCAAGCATCAACAAGGGAGTAGCACTCCTGTCCTTTCCCTCTTCCTGGATTTCCCCAAAATGAACCTAGCTTGAGGACCTAAGTCACCTGAACGGGGACTTAAGAAGTGGGTTTCAACCCCAGGCTGCTCAGCTCCGGCTCCCAGGTGAGCAGCAGTGGCCTCAGTCAGGAGCTGGGAATGCGGAGAGCCTGGCCCCACCTGGCCTCGCTCACCCCACTGCCCTCAGCAGGCTCTGACAATGGAGTCTGGGTGAAAAAATCCATCTGAGTGCCCTGGAGCCCCCAACCCCGGTGCCTTCCTCCAGGCAGGGCCAGACCTCGCTCAGGACTGCCAGCCAACAAGGCTCTGAATGAACGTCTCGGACTGGGGCTGGCAGAGCACCATGACCAGGTGAGGCCTGAAGGAGCCACTCAAGGTCACCCATCCAAAGGTCGGACCTATGGGCTAATTCTTCAAAATGCTGTGTCCTGTGTCAGGAAAGGCTCTGACACATTCCAAGGAAGCACCCTGTGTGCTCACCTCATCGGCTCTAGGCACATTCTAGAAAGCCACTTACAACACGCCAGCCAGCACCCAGGAAGCTGGAGCTGCGGGGCAGGCATGGGGGCTGGGTTGGGACTAGCTTGGGGCTACTTGGTGCTGACTTCCCCAGTCTCAGCCTTGGTTTCCCCTGGCTGAAAACAAGGGAAGTGCAGGCTAAATCTTTCTTAATAATCATTTTATTTTGAAATAATTTTGAATTTACAAAATTCAAAATTTGCAAAGTTGCAAAGACAGCACAAAAGACTCCTCTCTACTGCCACCTGGTTTCCTCTAATGCCACCATTTGTGTCACCGTAGGACATTTATCACAACCAATACTGTTAATTACACCCTAAACTTAAGTAGGACTTTATTTTTCAACTTATGTCCTTTGTCTGTTCCAGGATACCACATTGCATTTAGGACTAAACTCTTTATAAAGTCCTCTCCCACCTATCAAAATGGGGCTCTGCGTGTGCGAATCTGCAACTGACTGCTGTGCTGTGTGACTTTAAGATAATCCCTTACCCTCCCTGAGCCTCAGTGTCTTCAGCTACACAAAGCAGGTGACAACACTGCTACCTCATGGGGGTGCTGGAGGTAGTCATTTGCTAATTCCTATGAAGCATTTAGCATAACTCTTGGTACACCAGGAGGACTCCCTTGAGAAATCTCACCAGGTGGAAATCACAGGCTTAAACTAGCACTGACCTAACTTATTGCACACTCCCTGGGGGAGGGTGGGGGAATGCTGGCAAAATGACTGCTCCGAAAAAAAGGGGTGGTCGTGCTGGTCTGGGGGAAAGGGCAGAGATCTCAAACCTCTCAGGCCTGGTTTGCAGTCCCACTTAGTAGCTGTGTGACTTCACCAAATTCAGTCCTGAGTCCCAGCACCAGCATCTAACAAAAGGGAAGGACTCACCCACCTAACAGGGAAGATGAAATGCCACATGGAGCGGGGATGGCTGAGCACAGCCTCCTCTTCTGCCTCTTCTAGGGTCGTGAAGCCCTTAACTACCACTGAGCTCACTGCAGGACCAGCTGGAGTCTGGTGCGAGGTTCCCGGAGATGGCACTTGGGCTCCTGCTCCTGTTTGTTTGGGGGCGGGGTGACAGCCACCCGAAGCCATGTTGAGAGCTAACTCCATACTTCACTGCTACAGAGCCTTTCCTCATCCAGAGCGGAAGGGGCAAGGAACCCAACTGTGCTACCTAGGCCGAGCTTTGGAAGGAAGCTCGGGGCTGTTCCCGCAGCCCCTCTGCAAAGGCCACAGTGGCCTGCCCCTCAGAAGCTCAACGTGGTGGCTGGAGGGACCAGAGAAAGGGAGCGGTGTTCCTCCTGTTTAAAGAAGAGCAGTAGGGGACCAGGCAGGTCATACAGAGAGGGGCTTCTCCACGAGGATGAGGCCCTGCTCAATGGATTTCCGCTTTTATGCTCTTGGCTTTCTGACTTGGAGGTCCACTGGGCTCTGAGCTGCCAGAGGGGACCTATCCATCCACCCACCCACCCATCTCTCACCCATCCATGTTGGCATTGAACACCTTCCCATTGTGCTGGGTGCTGTCAGGTCCTAGAGAAAGCAAGATTGCTGTGGTCCCTGACCTCACTGAGCTGTCCTTCCAGCAAGTGAGGGCTGTCAGTTTTCTGTTTTCCATGTGTCCATTGCAGTGTCTTGCAACAATGGTACACAGCATGTTTGTTGAATGAATGTTGGATCTCTTCATTTCTGGTAATGTATCTAACTTTTTGACTGATGTACTGGGTCATTCTGAAAACATTCATGGAGCTAAACACTCAGTATTTGTGTTCATACCCCAGCTCCACACTCCTGAGTGGCTACTGAAAGACACTTGAGCCTTAGTTTTCTCACCAATAAAATGGGGGAAATACTTGAATTTCTACTCACTCAACTGATGCACATATAAAAGGAGAGAAGCTTCTAGAAAGTATAACATGAATAAAGACCACACAAAATAAAACTTCCCAGAGATGTGCTTAAGTGGTAGAACGGGCCTGCTTTGCAAGCTCAAAGCACTGAGTTCAAACCCCAGTCCCAACCAAAAGATTAAAACTTCCAGAAAGTATACTGACATGCTACTTGAGTGATTTTGCTCAAATGGCAAAAAAGTTGAGGTCACAGAGAAAATTAAGGTGGTCTGTCACTCACTGCAACCTTCTATAATCCATCTGGTTGCAATCACCCCAGACTTGTTCCAACTTTAGAGATTACATTTTTGGATTTGTGGCATCACAAGTCATCCCAGCCATTCCTGACCCATGTTCCTCTCCATTTGTTGCATGAACAACAGTTTCAGGGGGTGTTGTCACCTTAATTGCTTGTCAAGTGTTTTGAGATCCTTAGATTCAAAGCTTGGAGAAGGGGGCTGGGTGGATCTCAGTGGTAGAGCATTTGCCTGGCATGTGCGAGGACCTGGGTTCCATCTCCAGCACTGAGGAAAAGAAAAAAGCTTGACCAAGTGTAGTCACATGGCATGTGGTGTGTGACCGAATGGCTGTCCCTGGCCCAGCCCGTGGGTCAGTGGAGAGGGAGGCAGCACGGTGTTATGTCCTCAGACTGCTCTGGGAATCGTGGAGTTTAAAATCCTGTGTCCTGGGTGCTCTGCCCCAGGCCATTCCCACGAGGCTTCTGATGGGTTTTTCCTTTTCTTTTCAGTTCCTGGGTCACGTGGCCCACGTTGTACCAGCTAAAGTGTCACAGGTTTACTTTCCTGGGGGACCTCAGCCCGAGTGCTAGAGGACTCAGGCTGACTTTTGCCTATGACTTCTACATACTTCTACACGTGCCCAAGAGCTGGTGAGTTTGGCCTTCTTATGCTAACTTTTAGCTTGGATAAAATTCTAGCTTTTGAGCTGGGTATGGTGGCTCTCAGCTGTAATCCCAGCCTTAGGGAGAATGAAGCAGGAGGACCTTGAGTTCAAGGCCGGTCTGGGCTACATAGCGAGACCCTGTCTCCACAAATAATATTAAAAAAAAAAAATGTATCCCACAGTGGTTGCCCCTGGTGGCAGACACCAGGCAGGGCGGACAGGGACAAGGAGGCCAATGGTCCTGCTACTTTCCTGTCTAGATCTCACCACTGGCCATACCAGTGTGCTTAGGGTGTGAGTTCCCTGGACTACAAACTTCTATGTCCTTTTTTTCCTGTAAATGTCATACTATACAGTATGTTTTTCAGAATTGGCCTGGATGCTAATTTACTTTGTTTAAAGAAGATTCTAAACAAGGAAGCTATAAACCTAATTAAATAAAAATATCCTCTTTCCCTGCCTTCGTGACGCAAATCAATGTTTCCACAGCAGTGTTTCCTCGTTTTCATTCTCATTTTTTCACTTATAGAAGGTGTGGGGGGGGGTGCGCCATTACCCATTTTAATTAGGTCTAAAGTGGGGGGTTCTCAGCAGGAGGTCTTCAGGGACCTACAGGAACCTCCATCGAGATGACAGAATTCTGCTGGAGACCTGTGAGTACACACAGCTTTTCAGCTTTTGTCAAATTCTCAAGGTTCCCTGACCCCCAAAAAAAGCCAGAGGAATTCTTACAACTTGAGGATACTTATGTATGCACCCATTAAATATTTCATGACTCCCAATCCCACCCTCAGCACCCCCCAACCTAAGCCCCACCCGCCAAAGTCAATTTGCCCACTGAAATGCAAAAGTAATCAGGTTCAAGTCTATCAAAGATTCAGTCAACAGCCAGGCGTGGTGGTACATGCCTGTAATCCCAGCACTGGGGAGGCTGAGGGAGGGGGTTCGAGAGTTTGAGGCCAGCCTGGATGCTATACAGTGAGATCAAAAAAAAAAACCCCAAAGTTAGAGATGAAATTCACTACACCTCTGTATGAAACCAGATTTATTAAAAGTTCTCTACGAGTCAGCAATAGCATCTCACTGGTCACGTATCTACACACATACCGAAAGATCTAGTGTTTCTAGCTGTCCTGGCAGAGGCCCCTGCCAGCCCAGCGTCCTCACCCGGATCAGGTATCACAGATACGCCAGCCGAGCTGAGCAACCTCGAGGGCGTCCCTGCAGGGAGGCCCGTCCTCCCTCCCCCTCCCCCGGGGCCCATGCCCTGTCACACTGACATCGCCAACGATCATTCACAGTTCACGTGGTTCGAGACACGCAGGTTATTCAGACAGACACAGACAACAAAACAAAGGTCGAAGCCAACCGACGACGACGACGACAAAACCGAACATCTGTATAAAAGGTAAAACGTATGTACAAAGTACACAGTACGTGAGGTATACACAGCATTCTCGCAATGCATGTTAGTAGTCCGCCTTGGTGTAGCCCTTGAAGACGCCTGCCTGGCTTTGTGCCATTTCTCCAAGTACAGTATGTTTCATTTACCCGTTTCACCAACTGAGTTCAGCCCCGTCCTGGACAGGGACTGAGACTTGATCTGTTTTTGTTTTTTTAATGCAAGCTACAGTTTCTCCGTGAAGCTCTATCTTTTGTGGGGAGTGAGTTTTTGTCTCCAGAAGCATTCGAGCAGGGGCTGGGGTCCCACCTGCCAAAGAAGCGGAAGGGGGGATGTCCGCAGGGGCGGTGGCAGCAAGAGGAAAGAAGTGGGATCACGTCCCTTGTGACTTTAAGTCTTTGGGGCTCTCTCTGTCGCTCCAGTAGCCAGCTCCACAGGTGGATTCATAAACCACACCGTGTGTGAAACACCAACAGCCCTTCACGCAGGACCGCAGACGCGCACAGGATGCCAGAGGCGGGCCATTCCGTGGGGGATCGTTCTGGAAATTAGTCTGAGCATCTTCTAAGACTGTCCAAAATTCACTTGCTTCGAAGCCCAAAGATGTCTAACATTTGCTCCCAGGAGAGCAGGCTGGGCAGTCTCCCTATCTTTCTTCCTTCCAGACAAGAGGCTCCACCCTGACGATGGTCGTGGGGAAAAAGTGAAGGATAGGTACTAGCACATTTCAGAGGAACTTAATTAGCTAACAGTTTCCAAGGGATCAAATTATTACAAAAAACAAAAACCAAAAAACTGCTGTTTCTGCTCTTGCTCAGTTCTGAAACAGCTGCTTTCTTATTAGCCCGTAAGTGCCTTCATAGTTGCAGGGGACAAGTTTCAAGGTCAAGAGAAAGGCATTATTGCATATGAGGTCTCTCTGGATCTCGGGGAAGAGTCTGGATTCAGGGTTCAGGGTTCAGGGTTCAGGGTTCAGGGTTCAGGCAGGGTCCTGAGCTCCAAACCAACGGAGCAGAGTCACTGGTAACTGTGAGTGTGGAACAAGAATGAGTGTTAGAACGAACGAACAAAAAAAACCAAAAAAGTACTTTCTGATCAGAGAAACTGTGGTAGCAAGTCCAGCTACCAAGGACAAGTTCCAAGATGGCAGGTTTATTGGCCCAAACTGTCACCCTGTTCAAATAGGGTCATTACCCCAAAAAATATCACTGTCTGACTTGCGTCCTTTCCCATTCAAATGTTCCAGATCACGTGTTCTTGAGCACGTGGTGCAGGATGTCCACTCTCTGGGCTAGCTTTAAGAGACACGGCATCCTCCAGTGGGATAAAATACTTGATGACGGTTCACTGAGATGGGGAACAACTTTCCAGGGCAGCCGATCAGAGGGGACGCTGCTCACGTCACTAAGTCACACACGCCAGCCAGTGAGAGGGGCACGCGCAGAGTGCTGCAGTGACAGTCTTGACGCAGTCACTTATCTGGCTGGTAACACGCTGGAGAGCCTGTCCACCTTTAGAAATGCCATGTGTGAGAGTTATGAGGTTTCTGAGGTTTTCTTGGGATCAGCAGAAGAAGGAACTAATGTCACTGTCCTCCTGATACTCTGGGACAATCTGGTCTGAAGTTCCTATTTCCGAGTCGATGTACCCAGGTTCCAAGACAGACTCGAACCAGGGATGGAGGAGGATTTCGGGAGCAGTAAGTCTCTGGGAAGGCTCTCGTCTCAGGAGACTGCGAATGAGGCACCTGGCTTTGGGGGAAATGTGGTCAGGAATGCAGAACTGTCCACGTCGGATTTTGGAGAAAAGGGCACTGGGATCTGAGTCATGGAAGGGGTAGCGTCCAACCAAAAGGGTATAGAGCATCACCCCTAGGCTCCAAACGTCCGCTGCCTTTCCGGAGTAGGTCCCGGTGGTATTGAGAATTTCGGGGCTCACATAAGCTGGGCAACCGTGCTTGTCCGACAAAGCATCGTCTTCGCCCTTGATGATGTGTGTGTCTTCCAGACTTTCCAGTCTGAGCTGGCTTCTGTAGGAGAGAGGAACCAAGCTGTTACTTTCAGACCAGCTGCTATGAAAAAACAAGGCCTTCCCAGTGACAGTGCCCACAGGTATCAATAGCAAAGGCCCTGGGAATGTCACTGACCCCTTCATCTACTAAGCACAGGCTTTCAAGCACCCAGGTTAGAGATTTCACAAGCTGCAATAAATGTTTGCAGAGTTTCAAGACAGTGCCCAGGGTGGAGGGTTGTGATGCAAAGTCCCAAATAGTATTTGTGATGCTAGCACTTGGAAGAGATATCCTAATAGGGGTTACACAATTGGTGAACTTGACATTGCAGAACTGGGCACTTGTCTCAGGAATGTTGCATTTTCTACAAAAGCTATCAGGGAGGAACAGAAGATCCTCCTTCCTCTGGGAGGGCCTGAGCACCCGACAAGCTTGTCTTCTCTCTTGTCATGACACTGACTGTGAGGCTACTTGGACACGCGCTTTGCATTAGAGAACATGAGCCCAAAGTTATGCCCACACAGAGGGCGTCTGCGTCCTGTCCATCTGCGTCCTGGCTGATGGAAAGTTGTAAGGAATGTCAATTACTTTTATTGGGGTGTTTAATTGCAAAGAACATTTGGCCTGGGTAGAGAGGTGACATAAACAAGCAAACAGGACTGTGGATTTTAGAGCTGCACAGCTCCCAATAACTAGTAACCCCCACGCTGGCACACAGAACCTCTGGGTTGGCAGATCAATGCACACACACGTATATATTCTACATGGGGGTCTCTGTTCAGGTAACACGATAGTCTGTGGTCAAAGCCACTTTGATGAAGATGCAGGTGCCTCCTTATTCAGAACCAACCCACCCGCATCTCCTGGATCCCACCCTCAAAGCCACACAGGGAACATCTAATATCTGGTGGTGGCCCTCCTTTCCCTGTCTCTCTGACACAGGTCTGTTTCAGTAGGTCGTTTGTTGACGTTAAATGCAAACATTTGGAACTGAGTGATAGGTCAATTCCTTTTCCTCTCAAAGGTCTGATGCTTTTGGTTTTGTTTTTTTTTTTTTTTCCTTCCTGCCTTCCTGTTCCCTGGAGTGTAGTATACATGTGCTAACTTCACTATGTCCTCAGCATGACCTCCCTGTCGTTATGTAAAATACCCATTGGTTCTGTAAACGGAAAATGTGACTCAGCCCACACTGCCGGGCCCTCATTGGCTGCTGTAGTACTAAAACCCTGCACCTGTGCTGGTTACTGGCTAGCGTCAGCCTGCCATTGCTTAACCCCCGGGTTGCCAAACTCTGTGCCCATGACATTGGCCTGTGCAATGCAGATTTCAAAAGCTCGTAAGGAGGTGTGTAAGGCAGGTTTCAGAAAAATGCATCACCATATCAAAGAAGCAAGTTCCAGGAACTGCACATGTCTTCTTGCAAACTGTTTGCTTTTCTTTGCTGATCAGTATGTTTCAATAATTATTGCAAGGTCAGATACAAAGTCATGCTTTATGGCAATTCGACCCAGCACTTTTTTAAGAGTGCTCTGGAGGGAAAAGGCAAAAATGCACAGGTGGGGTGAGCCCTGGGTGACTAGAAACAACGAAATAACTCAGTCCCCCTCTGCAATTCTACAGGATTAGACTTTCCACAAGGGATGCAGTCCACCTCTTAAAATTGGTCTATCTCACACAGCTTCCTGGATTCTCTTGTTTAAAACCTCCAACTGGAATCTCGATGTCCCATTATTCTCTTATCAAGCTCGTCATGTCCTTTGTGAGGTAAGCCAAGATCCATATTTAGCAATCCATCCTAGCCAACTGCCATTTATTATTCAGTGTGGCTATTTTTTGAAGATGTAGCCAAGGAAGCATCTAAAGTCACCAGAGGATGTGGACAAAGTATGGGGGACCCAGCCTGAAAAGGAACAAGGATGCAGTGGGAAGGAGTGGCTAGAATTCTGCAAACTCAACAGGCTGACTAGCTGTCATACCCTCCAGGCACAACGAAGAAACTTGGTGTAAGTAAGGATCTGACAGCTTCTTGGAGATGGTAGTGAAGGGCAGGTTAACATCTGAACCCCAGAATATGCATCTTTCTGATCCCAAGGGGAAATAAGCCTGATCTTAGGGTAGAGGTGGGGGAGGGAAGGCATCCAGTCAACATGTGACATCTGCAGAAGCACTAAGGTGTCCCCATACTCCATCCAAGAATGCAGAATGAACCAACCTGGGCTGTGATATTTCAGGAGAACTTCTATACATTAAATCTGGGAAAACTGAGGAACTCTTGGGTTTGTTTGGCACCTAACTGCACAACCTGTACCTTCGTTTTGGTTCCAAAAGGCCACAGGAGGAGCTGTGGCAGCCGCTCACCTCTCCTCCGTGGAGAAGACGAATTTCCTAAGCTTCAGGTCCCCCAGCACAATGGCTGACTGGTGGCAATGGGCAACAGCAGAGACGATCTGTTTGAAAAGCCTGGCAGCCTCCTCTTCCCGCAGCCTCTTCCGGCTGCGCACGTAGGAGTGCATGTCCCCAAAGTCCTTCTCAAAGAAAACATAAGCCTTGGTTTCGCCAAGGATCACTTCCACGATACCAGTAATGTTTCTGTGTGAGGGCAACTGGATGTAAGGCCTGATTTTGTCCTGGTAGTGTTTAATGGGGAACACCTGCAAAGAGAAAGTAGTGCGTTTAGGAGGCTAGAAAAACAGGGGCTGCCTCCCGAGCAAATCCTTCAGGGAGGTGGGCTAAAGTTGTCAAGCTTTGCTTGGCCTTGGGATGCCAGCAGCCCCATTCATTTCCCTTATCTCTGCCACCAATTTATGTGGCCCCAGTTGGGCCTTGCACCCTTAAAACCAGTCCCCCCTAGGGTCTCGGTCTAGCAAACCCACAAAGGTTATCCTTCACAAAACTCATGCTCTGCTAGAGCAACCAGCCCCTTGGAGCTAAGCCCCAGCTCCCCTCTCCCTTTCCTTGTCCATAGACACAGGGCTGAGGCTGAGTGTCTGAGGGAAGGGAGCCCCAGCATCCACAGGGCTGAAAAGTAGTCCCTGGTATGCACGTGTGTCCTGCAGATCGGAAGGGCTCGGCCTAGAGAGGGTGAGGAACATGTTGAGTCTGCAGCCGCCATGGCGCAGGGGCCACAAACACGCAGAGCTGTCATTAGTCAGAAGGAAGGGATGACTTGGAAGGAGAGACTGTGACAACGCAGCCTTAAGCAACTTGCCTACACTTGTGACTCAGGTGTAAGCAGCCCAGTCGGGAGTCACATTCTCCCAGGAGAGGATGAACCTTCTGAATGGTCTTTTCTCATTTGTTTGTTTATCCCCCCACAGCCCAGCCACCCCGCCCCCAGAATGGGCAGCATGTCCTCTAAGACGCCGGCTGGTCTCTTTAAGGGCCTTTTGTTCAGTTCGGTTACTCATATCCTACACTCAACTGGAAATGGTGACACATGGGCTGTCACCATCTGGATTCAGCTATTATCTGCTCAGAGGAACTGGAAGGGGTTGCACAATGACCAGACCCACCCCACCTCTGAGGTGGTTGCTCTGGCATCAAGCAGAAAAATCCTTCTGCTGCCCTCTCCTTCCGCCCCTCCCACCCCAGGACACACATGCTTCTCCCAAAATTGTTCTCAGCCCCGCACCGAGAAGAAAAGATTTTTCCCCTTTAAACTGGGCTTGATCGTGCATTTGAAATTTCACTGGTGAACAGTAGGTGGCAGCAGTAAGCCAAGGGGGGTGGGGGGGGTCAGGTGAGTTGCAGGAAACCCAGGAGCAACTTAAACTGGAGGGGGATGAAATAGAGCAGCCTGGGGGGTTCTGCGTGTGCCCGAGACGCGGGTGTCCCCAGGGTCGCGAAGAGCAGACTGTGCGAGCGATGCGCGCGTACGTGCGCTGCGGGACACCCCGCGGATTCTGTTCCTAGTGTGCTTCCTCCTCCCGAATGGGGTCTCTTAGGTTCAATGAAAATCGCTGGCCGGAGAAATAAAGTGAATGAAAGCGATTGTCCCCAGCCGGCGTGAGCTTTCCAACACGCCGGCCCAATGTCCCTGCCCGGGCTGGAAGAGCACCTCCGACTGCTCCCTTGGGAGGGCGGCGTTCTCGTCCCAGTCCGAATCCCCTGGGCAGGAACCCGACCGGGTCTGACTACCTACAAACCGAGGCGGGGGACCGTGAAGTTCCGGCAGAGAGCTGCCAGCCGTCGGAGCCCCGAGGAGGCGCCCACTGCAGGGCGTCCTTCCAGGACACGGGGGAGGGGGGGATGAGAGAAGGGCAATGGCATGGCCTGGAATCCATTGCAATTCCACAACTTATATGGAACGCCACGCGCTAGCTAAATTGAGCGCCAACGAAAGGAACGTGGAGATAAAGCCAATTGAGCACTGCGCTTCCTCTGAACAGCCGAGCCCCCATTATGTCCCTCCACACGAACCCCTCAATCTCCAAAAAGAGCGAAGCTGCGCCAATGCCGCCTTTATGGGACTCAACCCACTCATCCGCCCTGCCCCAAACCCATGCGTCGGCACCTCGATCGCGGCGGGTAGAAGCCCAAGCATCTTTGCCGACCACCCCGCCCCGCTCGCCCGACCCCCATCGGGTCCCGGCCCCGGGTCGCCTACCTTGCAGCGCAGTTCGCGGCCGGTGTGGATGCACAGCGCCCGGGACACATGCTCGCGCTCGGCCAAGGGCAGCAGCAGGTAGTCGGCGATGCGGCTGGGCCCCGGTACGCTCCCGCAGCCGCCGCCGGTTCCCGGGGCGGCGGGCAGGGGCTGAGGGCTGCAAGGCGAGCCGGGGGGGCTGAGGTAGTCTGGGGGACTCGAGCACTCGGAGAGGCGCGGGCACTTGGCCGCCACGGCTGCGGGGTCGTCCGCGTCCAGCAGGCGTTTGGCCGGGGTGCCCCGGACAGCTGGGAACAGTAGGGCCGGACCGCGGGGCTGCGAGGCGCCGCTCATGGCAGAGCGCACAGGACCAACCCTCATCGTGTCCCTGGCCCGAGCGGCCCCGGCTTTGTAAGTCCCCGGATCCGCGCAGGGAGGGACTTCGGGCTTGGCGCTGGCACTGCGACTTCTTCCAGCCGGCTGGATGGAGTTTGCAACCCGGGTTTGGCTCGGCCCCCAGGAGGGGCAAAGCGGGAGCCGCTCCTTGGCGTGAGTGTTGCTCGCGGGGACCACGCTGGCTGGGCGTCCGGGGGGCGGAGGCCGGCTAGGGTCCCCGGACCCCCGCTGGCACCAGTTCGGGGAGCCTCGCTGGGGGCAGCCGCAGCTATTGTTACCGAGGCTGCCGACAGTCCCGGGGGCGAAAGCGGCCGGCGTTGCCCGCCTCCAGAGCGGCGAGGACAGGATTCCACAGGCTCGGAGGAGCCACGGAGCAAATGCACTTCCCAAAGCAATTAGTCGCGAGCAAAAGCCGGAGCAACTTTTCCGCGGCGCTCCGGGTCCTGCGCGCTCCTGGGCTCCCGGCGTGTGAGCGAGCGCGACGCGCTCGGAGAGAGTGAGTGAGTGTGAGCGAGTGAGTGTGTGCGCCGCACTGATCCCGGCCAGGGTACTCCTCCTCCTTTTCCTCCACCTCCTCCGCCTCCCGGTGACTCACGCTGTATACACACACACTCACAGGCCGGGCTGTGTAAACAGTTGGGAAGCCGGGTTGTGCAATGAGGTGGCTGCGACGACTCCGGCCGCGCCGCGGGGCTCGCAGCCACCGGAGCGGAGGGAGGAGACTGGGGGAGGGGTCGTGAAGTTGGAGGTTGGGGAGAGGGGGTGGCCGGAGGGCTGGGGATGCTCGGGGCGGCGCGCGCTCGGGCGCAGGTGGTGCGTCCGGGGCCGTGTTGGGCGCGCGCACACGCCACCCCCCTTCCTGCCCCCCGAGTGGGGCTGGACAGGAGGCGGCGCGCGCCCTCCTGCAAGCCCTGGGTTCCGCGCTCGAAGCCGAAAGAGGGGGCGGGGGAAAGTTCCCGTGACGTCAGGGTCCCGGGGAAGTGGGCGGGAGGGGCGGAGCCTCGGGAGGCAAAGCGCCCGCTGATTGGTGCGCGCGCCTCATTCACAGCAACACAATGGGCTGGGAGGCGGGAGCGCGCACCTCGGCGCTCTGCCCCCGGCGCTTGCTGCGGCCGGGCGGTTACACCTTTTGCCAGGGGGATCCCCACACCGCTCCGCGCCTGGGGAGTATCGGTTGGATCCGTGGGCGCCGCCGAAGCCCGGCTGTAGCCGGAGGAAGCGGGGAGAGGGAAGGTGATGATTTCCAGAATCAGTCTTTCACCCCCACGCGGTAGTTCCGGGGAAGACCCGTGCGTGGTAGTGAGTGTGGCTTTTTTTTTTTTTTCCTTTTCCTGCTCCCCTCCCAGCTCTAATCCCCAGCGTCTGTTCACTTCCACAAATAGAACCTTCTGTTGGATGAAATAAAAGCAAACACTGGGCCTTCTGCGCTGCCTCCACCTCCACGCCCCTCCCGCGCCTGCCGCCCGCCCGGATTGCACGGAAATAGCTTCTCCAGGCTCCCCGGCCGCCCCTTCGCGGTGACTCGCAGGGCTTCCTGAGCCAGGGTTGGGGGGAAACAAAGGATGTGGGGAGCGGGCGGAAGGGGCCCACGTGGTCGCCGCCGGATTCCTGTCCCTTCCCGGGCCTCCGCATGCGCCGCAGGGTCGAGGGCGGCGGTGCCAGCCTGAGTATCGGGGTGGATGGTAGGGAGGTGGGTGGAAGTCGTTCTGGCCACTGCCGGGGATGGAGAGGACCCGCAGTGCCGCCAGGTCGTGCAACATGATTCGGTTCGCATAGAACTATGACAGACCTTGTGCAAAACTCCATCGAACACCTTGGAATCTGTCGGGTGTTTTTTTTGTTTTTTGGGTTTTTTTTCCTTGAGAACCAGGTCAGTTTGGCGTCCCTGGACGCCCAGCAAAGATAACTTTTATCGAAGTCCTTCCTCACACCTCTGCTAAATACTTAATTTTGTAAAACCAGGACAAGCCCCAAGAATAAAGCCTTTTCATTATTAATTCACCATTCATTCAACAAACACTAATTAAGCATCTACTGAGGGCTAGACGCTGGGGATTCGAACATGAAAATGGAACAAGTAATAACAGCCAGCGTCGATTGAGGCCTGTGGTGTGCAAGGCCCTGTGTGTTACTTCAGTTTTACAGCCTCCCTCGAAGAAACTGAAGCCTAGGAAACAAGCTCTTGCTGTGGCTCAGCTAGTGAGCCAGTGGCAGAGCAGTCAAGTTCTTGGGCACTCTTGGGAACTCGGGAGAGACTACAATTTGTAGGGAAAAGAGGATTTAGGGAGGCCTCCATCTAAAAGGCATTTGACCTGGGGATGGATGAGAATCGCTCAGGAGAAGGTATGGACGGTGGGTAGCCCCACCAGGCAGGGCTGCAGTAAGGACAGGTTGCTCAAGGAGGTAGCAGGCCAGCAAAGAGTAGAGCCTGAGAGGTCGTTTGGGATCTCATTGTCTCTTATGACAGAATCTTAAGATCCGCTGAGCTGTCTGCTGAGCCTTTGCTCCTGGATAGTGAACCCAGGGTGTTCCATGATGTGTGTACCTCCCTCCAGGCCTCCTCTGAGACACACACCTCAGCCCACCAAGCCACTATGGCCCCTGGACCACTAGACCTGCTGCTGTCAGAGCCAAGCCTTTCCTCCTGCAATCAGCTTCTGGGGCTGGCCTTATCAGCTCCCTTTTCCTGGCTGTCTTGGCCAGGGGGAGGCCCTTGAGGGAACTGGGCAGGTGGGAGGCAGAGGAGAGAAACCAGGCTACTTCCTCTCTTCTCTCCATTTGGGGCGGCCCACTGTGGCAGCCCCTCTGGCTGCTGGGATGACCCCCACATCCTTCAGGATTGTGGATTTATTACTTGAGTGGGTAGCAGGAGCCTTTTTGGAAATTGCCTGGACTAAGAAGAACGGAATTGCCAAGGTCATATGCCCCTCTCAGGAGATCTTGATCTTGATCAAGGTCGGGTCCTCTTGCCCCAACCTGAGTCACCTGTAAAGGGCATCCCAGATTCCCAGTGCTCAGCTGGGGTCATCCAAGGCCTCCTTCAGACTGCACAGCAGCCTGGCTTCTTCCTCCTGCCCCTCTCCAGGCTTCCCCTCCTTCATACTGGTCTCCATCTAGAGTCTGCCTCCTGGGGACCGCAGCCCAGAGCACCCCTCTTCACCGTCCCAGCTCACTCCAGCAACTCTGACTCCTGACAGTGACACCACTTTGTCTTCCATCCCCAGGGTGGCAGCAGCTTCCTGACATTGCTGACTGTGTCACCCCCAGCTCCCTGTTCTGTTCCGTTTTATTTCTGCTCTGCTTTGTAAGTAGTTCCCCACATTCAATTCTACTAAACTTGCTGGGTTCTGTTTTCCTGCCTGTCCCCTGACTGATAGATGCTCAACATTTTCCAAGTCCAGCCCCTCTGCTGCTCCTGTCAATTTAGTCCAGCACCTTCCTCCGGACACCTGCAGTGAGCTCCTCAGACACTAATCCCTTCAGTCAGCAGTGAGCACCTACTGTGTACCAGTGCCCCTACTAAGTTCGGGAACCACAGTAGTGAACAAAGCAAAACTGTCCTCTGTCCCTCTGTCCATTACTCACACAGCTACCAAGTAACTCCTAAAATGTTAACTTGATGACATCAGGCCCCGGCCTAAAACCCTGAAGGGACCCTCGGATAAAATCCACATCTCACAGGGTAGAAAGGGCCACCCTCTTCCAGGTCCTGCTTCTGGTTGGACCTACCCATGCCAACTCCTGGCAGGGTCCCAAACACATCTGCCAGTTCACACCTCTGCACTGTTGCCAGCTCTGTTCCCTCCCACAGGAATTCATTCCTCTCCTGCCAGTCTAATGAACTCTTCAAATCACCACCCAGATTTCCCCAGCATGTGCAGTCAGATGTGTGTGTTCTCCTAGGCGCAGCGGAGTCCTCCATCCAACCATCGCTTGTGAGCCTTTCCACTCAGCCTTGTTCCCAGAAAGCAGCGGTCATAGCTTACTTCACTTGTGTCTGCAGCCCCAAGCTGGGGTCCATTATAAAAGAGAAGCTTTGCAAGTGTCAAATGAATAAATATGCCAAGAGCAGAAGGCCACCTTGGGAGACCCTGAGCTGGGAGACAGAGGGAAAAGCAGCATTTAGGCAGAAACAGCCTAGAGGGCACAGCACAGACCTCAGACATCCAGCCCTGGCAGGCAACAGGCTGCTGGTGGTTGGGGAAGCGTGTGGTGAAAGCTCGGGGACCTGAGGTCTGCACCCCCAGGGGAGGCTCGTGGACCTCTAACGGGGCCTGAGATCTAGTAAGTTGAGGACAGTGAGCTAAACTTGCCTTGATCTCAGTCCTGGAGCAAAGTAAGCACTAAACTTCCCAGCCTTTGCAAACGCTGACCTGACAAGCTAATTGCTTGTTCTGCTGTGAAGGGGCCACAGTGAAGGCCTACTTTCTCTCCCCTGCAAGATGCTTATGAAACAAAAGATGGAAAGATCTAAAGCAGTGTGATGACATTGGTGCCAGATTACCAGCTGTGAGCATCAATCAGTATTTAAATAGCCGTCAAAGGCTTGTCTTGACCACAATTGGAAAAGAACCTTCTGATGAAAATCTAAATGGATAAGTAAAACGTATAAGTTAATAGGACGCCAGTTAGGAAGTCATTCTTAGGGCTGGGGGCGTGGCTCAAGTGGTAGAGGGCCTACCTAGCAACTCTGAAGCCTTGTGTTCAAACTACAAGTTCAAACAAATAATGCTTTAGGGAGTTTCTTCCTATGTTTAAGGGAAAGTGTACATGTGAGAGTGCGTGTGCACACGTGCAGGTTTGAGTATGTGTACATTTGTGTGCATGCATGTGCAGGTCTGAGTGTGTGTGTGTGCAAGTCTGAGTGTGTATGTATGTGCACATGTGCAGGTCTGAGTGTGTGAGTGCATGTGTACAGGTCTGAGTGTGCATGTGTGTGCATGTGCACAGGTCTGAGTGTGTAGATGTGTGCATGTGTAAAAGTCTGAGTACATGTGTGCACGCATGCAGGTCTGAGTGTGCGTATGTGTGTGGGTGTGTGCACATCTGTGCATGTGTACAGGTCTGAGTGTGTACATGTGTGCACATGTGCAGGTCTGAGTGTAAATGTGCATGTGTGCAGGTCTGAGTGTGTGTGCACATGTGCAGGTCTGAGTGTAAGTGCACGTGTGCGGGTCTGAGTGTGTGTATGTGTGTGCACTGTGCAGGTTTGAATGTGTGTGCAGTGTGCAGGTCTGAGTGTGTAAGTGTGCGTGTGTGCAGGTCTGAGTGTGCGCGCGTGTGTGAATCTTTGAGTGTGTGTGTGGATGTGTACAGGTCTGAGTGCGTTTATGTGTGCAGTGTGCAGGTCTGAGCGCGTGTGTCTCCTGCAAAGCCTCAGCCCCACACTAAGCTGACACTGGGTGCTAGACCATGTGGAACTGGGAAAACCATTGATTTCCCTCCAGCTTTTCAGGAAGTTGCGTACTGTGCAACACGGGAAGCCAGTATTGATTTTTCTGGACAAGGTTGGACACCCTACGAGCTGGGTTTGACTCGTTGTCACTCGTGCCAAGGCAGGTGCATGGCAGCTGGAAGCTTCTGAGCGTTCCGCTGACTGTAAGGTACAGGGGAATTCTCAGTGTCCAGGGGCCCCTGTTCCCATCCCCACGCTTCACTGCATACAGGCGTCACAGCCACATGGCAGGTGTGGGTTGGGTGCT